GATTTGTGGAATTTTGATAAATGCTCTGATCAAATTTGCAGATCATTTGGCCTGGTTTGAAATTATTTGACTTCAAAATTCCAAATGCTAGAGTGGAACTGGTTTTATTTTTCATTATTCAGTTATATTCGGACAAAATTAGACACCAAAATAACGCAAAGTTTCATTATAATGACCTGCTTTAGGATATTAATTAAAATTGTTCTGTCCAAGCTTATCCTATGCTGTATTATATGCCTAAATATAATTATTCCTTTAAAAGTTGAACGAGCAGCTATCCAACCAAATTCGATTGATAGTGCTGTAACCGCCGGTGACAAATAGATTTACCCTGATCTTGTCTCCTGATTGGCCAGAATCAGAAATTTAAGAAGAATGCGCGAACTGCGAATTACTTGTTTACAGAGAAAAAAAAAAACCTTTAGTTATTATTATGGAAAATAATTTTAGTTCAACGGCTATAATACATGATAATTCAACATTATCAAAAGCCGATCCACAGGATGTCCTTGAGGCATTAGAATTAAATAGACAGCTCCAAAAAGAATTAGATAGAGTTAAATTAGGCATTGACGCGGCATTACAACGTAATATAATTTTACAAGTAAGTTTGTCGAATGTCCGATCAAGTGATTGTTGGTATTATATACCTAACTCACAATTTGATTTATTAAGGAACGTCTCGCTCGAATGAGACAGGAGGAAGCTGAAACCGATGGTTACTCTAGATCTGCGCTAGATACACCAGTTATAAGAACATTTGGTCCTCCATTTTTTATTGATGCGGAAGGAAATGTAAGCAAATATGTTACAACAAATTATTGATTCTATTAGTAAAAAATAAAAGTTCGCTATATCAAATTTCTATATTTCATATAACGGCTTGTAATGTTAGCATCCCGAGTCGACTTTACTTTAGGAGATAATTTCAGTGACTGACGTGTTTCTTCTATTAATTAAATTTAGACTCCACCTGAGAATGAAGAAACATGTGTTCGGCCGTTAATTTTTAAGAGCACAAGATGTGAGTGTATTATTTTTATAAATTCTTTTATTTTATTATTTATATTAATTTATTTGATAGGGACTCTAAGTGAAAAAGAAGCATTGCGAAGGGGCATTCAAGATCATAATATGAAACGGGAAGCATTACGAGCTATGAGGGAGTAGGTGACGACATTAATATTGCTGATAAACGCAGGATTCGCATTATATTTCCTTTTATTGACTATATATAAATTTATAACTCTAGAGGTAGATCAATTCAATCCGTAGAAAAAATGTCAAAAATTCTATTTCTTTATAATGTAGAAGAAGTAAATTGGTCACAAATTGCAAAACAATATGTATGATATCCATTTATTATTAAAAACGCGTATTGATATCTTATTAAAGCTGATCGCATATATTTTATTAGGTACCCACAAAAACAAAAGAAGAATGTATTATTCAATGGACAAATCACGATCATCCATGTATTAACAATGATGAGTGGACTACCTTAGAGACGAAAAAATTACTTGAAATCGCTGAACAAAATAATGGTAGAAATTGGCAGAAAATTGCATTAGAACTAGGTGTTAGTATATTTATTATTATTTCTTTGATTCAAATTTCAATCTTTTGCTACTTTTTAGGTATTCGGTCTGTTTTGTTCTTTGATTCTTGCACTGGTGAGTTTACAATTTATTTTCTATTTTTTTTTTTTCTCTTTGTCTCAACAGACAAATAGAACTGCTGCCGAATGCTTTAAGCAATACAACAAGCAATCCTCTGATCCTCGGTACTTGCGTTTTTCTTTGTCCTGTATTTCGTTTGATTCAGATTTATTCATTATCATTTTAAATGCTATAGTAAGTGGTCAAAAGAGGAAGATGATATACTTATAAGTGCGGTAGATCTTTATGGTGAAAAGAATTGGCAACAAGGTAAGATATATAACCATTTTCAAACTATTCCTAACGAATTGTCAATACTAAATCTTCTTCATTTTAGTTGCGCATTGTCTTGACAATAGAACAGGCCAGCAATGTCTACATAGATGGACTAAAACCTTAAATCCAGCAATTCGACGTGGTCGCTGGAAAAAGGAAGAAGATGAAGTGAGTTTGATAATAACTTTTAAAGTACTTTTTTATACTTATGCTTTAACAGTTAACTATATATTAAACTTGTGTAAAATACCGTAGGCTCTTCAAAATGCGGTCTCTATTTATGGTGCTGGTAATTGGGTTAAAGTACAACAATATGTATTAGGTAGAACTGATGTTCAGTGTCGTGAGCGTTGGATGAATGTTCTTAATCCAGATATTAAAAAAGATTCATGGACTAATGAGGTTATTATAAATAACTATATTAATAAACAAATTTGATAAAATAATTATATTCTAACACATTTTTTTTATACTCTAATTAGGAAGATGCAAAATTATTAGAGCTATCAAGAAGCATAGGAATAGGAAAATGGGCAAAGATTTCGGCATTTATGGACGGACGTACAGATAATCAGGTTCATATTTAATAAATGTGTAAAGTATAATAAAGGTCTAAAAATTAAGTTCAAAATTTTTTTAGTGTTGGCGCCGATATAAGGTGTTAAAAAAATTGGAGAAGCAGAAAATGTTAACGGATACAAACCTTCCAGAAAATCAAGAAGTAGGAACAACTACAGAGGTTAATCAAAATTCAGGTGAATCACCCACGAATAAAAGGAAGTCCAGAAAAGGTACAACTAAAAGGAAAAAATAGTGGATAAACTATAATATTTAAGTGCCACTGTGTTTTAATATGGCAGCCTGAAATTATCTGATTCTAAAAATTTATAATCACCATTTAAATCTACAAAACCTACTTATGTTCATCTATTCCAATTCTAAATCCTAACAATAGGCCTAAAAAAAAAGCAAAAAAAATTTAAAATTGGAAATCTAGTATTAGTATCAACAATTTCGGCATCAGCTGCCAAATTAAAATTTGGCTTGAATGAACTATACATAAAAAGTGAAACCCGATTGGTAGTCTTAATTTACTCGATTGATGGCCTCATGCGTTGCAATCTAAATAATGAACATAAACTAGAAACCATGGAAATTTATTTCATTCTTTGAATATACTGTATTCTCGTGCTATCTTATTTTTTTTTGCATAATATAAAAATAAGCTGGTATATGATTTCTTGTGCTCATCATTTCATGAAGCAGATAAACAACTTGCAATGAAATTACTGATAAAATTATGATAAATCGCCACTCAAAAAATTTACAGATCATGTGATTCAAATGATTAATGAATAAATATCGAATTATGGTTACAAGCCAATTGAAGTTGAAATAACGAAATCATAATACCGAAACGTTCTGGCTATCTTATCTACGTAGCTCGAACGGATCAAGCAAATTGAAAATTTTAATTAAATGTAATTTCATGCTTTTTTGTTTTCAAGAAAAAAAAAAACCTTTATCTTGAAAATTTTAATATTACGCTTGTAATATTGTGAAAGAACTATTGCAGGGGCACACTGCAAAAACATTTTTCCGGCCTTAACATCCTTCTTTTTGGGGGCAAAAAATGATCAACTGATGGTCAACTTAGGCCCCTAAATCTGCTTATCGTTATATCATACCTGATGACAAATAAAAAATCGAAGTTCTCTTTTGCGTGTATTAATCCAAATGGTAAATTCTTTATTATAACATAATGAGCTTTTCGCACTAACATTTACGCTTTTGGTTACTGAATTCTTTATCTTTTTCTTTTAATATGAATAGTCGGCATTATTTAATTTCCAAAGTCTTTTACTCGTAATCTTGCTAGCTATATGCACTTGTACTTTCATAAAAGCACAAGCACCAGCATTATTGGATAAAAATAAAACTGGGTACTTATGTTTTTTTTGTATTTAAAACATAAATGCTTTATTTAATTTATTATTTTATATTTTGCAGTCTCTTAGGTCTATTTTGGAAGGCTGCGAGGATCGGTACTGTATTTGCCGTTTTTCATTTCTGTTTTTCAATTAAACCTATAATTTTAATTGTCCTTTGATTTTACAGGCGAGCGGTTGAGTCCATACGTCTCTTTGGCATGTATCGCCATGGCTATAAGTATTCTTATAAAGTAATTTACACCACTACTTATAACTTGTACTTCTAATATATGGGCTGGGTCGGATTTGGGTCTGTTTAATACCAACCCGGTCAAACCCGGGTTTTGCGCAAATTATCATTTTTAAAAAATGAATAATATATATATATTTTATTTATAATATCTTCTATTAAAATTATTATATGCTTGATCATTAGACCATGCAAAATTAATTAATTGGTTTTCGTAACCCAGCCAAGGACGATGATTTTCTGTGTTTCGCAAAATCACGGAATTGGTTATAAACATGAATGCGTCAAAAACAGCATGGAATTGTCGCAGAAATTAGGGATGTGACCATTCGAAATAATCTGAAGAATAAGTAAAATATTCTATTTGTTATTATAACCAACACAGAATTCATGAATTAATGCACGGATGATATAAGCAGAATTTGATTTTATCATAAATAGAATTGGCAATTTATCACCGCAGAAATCATCGTCCCTGAACCTGGCCGGATCATAATTCGGAAACTTTTACAGCTATTTTCATAATTCCTGGGACATATGTAATAATAATATCCTGATCCATTGGGGATCTTGGCATAGTAATCGGGGATTAAATAAAAAATTAGCCGAATGATTTTTAGAGATTTGATTAAGGGCGTTCTCAAGCGCCTCAATTAATGGATCAAAGTATGTCAAAAATGAGTCGGGAATTAAATTTTAATTAACGGAAAGTAATTTTAATCGA